AGTTATGATGTCATCTCAGCACTATCACAAGCACAATGTACCAAGCAAACGGGGTCCTTTTCTGCTGGTCGACCACGTTCTAGGTGACCGGGAGTTACAACACCTGCACAAGATCGCTTTATAAGGGTCACTAAGGAACTAAAAAAGCAACAGGAACAGCAGATGTAGTTCATGGGCCTATAGGTGAGCAGTACCAGCAGACACGATTCGACGACGTCTCCATGCCGTCTGCGATTTTTACAGTCGACCCGGCAACATAAATGGTGGCGACATGCTCAGTGGCGTCAAGTTGTCTTTTCGGACGCGTCTCTCATGCTGACGACCATGTACGTGTCTGGCGTCGCTGTAATGAACTTTACGCTGATTGCTATGTTATTCAGGCTAACAGTTGGAGTGGTGAAAGTGTGATGGTTTGGGGTTCAACTTCATGTCTTCCGACAACGTGTAACTGCTGTTGTGTATGGGAATCAAGTTCTTTGTCGTCATATTGTTTCCTATCCTCAATTGTCCCAACAGGAACAGGACAATGCACGTTCTCATACAGGTGTCAATGACGTATCTGAACAACATCAACATTCTTCCATGTCTCTCCTCGGATATTGCTCGTATTAAACATGTTTGGGATATCGAATTACAGAGGGTAAACAACCAAACATGCGTGTAGAAATGGAACAGAGATTACTGTTTGAGTGTAACTACTTGCCTCAGGCATTCTGTCTGACACTTGTTAACCCGATTAGGCGACTTTGTACCGCCTGTGTGCTAACCCAAGACGGTCAATTGGTTACTGAGGCGATTCATTCTTCAGTACGAAAGATATGTTTCTTTGACGTTACGTGTTCCTTTGTAAACTCCTGTAACACCAGTGTGACAACCGACTTCCGCTCTTCAACTGACAGTTCTCTATATTAATTTGTGATTTGACACCATTGCGTTTGTCAGTTTGTTCAAAACTTGAAACAGACGTAAGACTTGCGTTTCTTTTGCTGTTTACTTTTTTAACCATTATTGGTATGACATTTCAGGAGATAGTCCATCAGTGGGACTCCTTTGGAATCCCAGAAAATCAAAACATCACTTTGCCAGCTGCTATGACAACTTTGCCTTCTTCGGAGGGAGAGATGTTAGATGTTTCCACTGATTTTGCTGTTATTTAGTCTCTGCCTAAAAGTGGTGAAGCCAGACTCCCATGGTTACAAATCGCTCAACAAAAGTAGTAGGGTCGACTTTAAAACTACGTAAATACTCACGAGAGATGATGAACCTGGAGCGTTTTTGATCAGGAGTCAGAACCTTGGAACCAATAGAGCTGAAACCCTTTCTCATGCCCAGTCGTTTCCTCAGAATGTCCGCGCGCTCATGAGAGATGCCTCTTGTATTGGCTATCTGAAGTGTGGTGAGTGGTGGCAGTTTGAAGGCCTGCCCACCTCTTAACAGTGGTAAATAAAGGAGAATGACCCCCCCCGCATAGATGTCTGTCGGAGATAATTGATGTCAGCGCGGGAGCCAATTTTGTCCGTTTTTTATCAGCAAAGAATACCTAATCACTAATCACCTGCAGAAATATGCTGCCTAGTCTGTAAGCATGGATGAAAGTCACCATTCCCGACCATACTTGACGAACAAGTTGAAACATTGGCCTCAACCTTATCCAGAACCTTAAAAGCTGACACACACACACACACACACACACACACACACACACACACACACACACACATATACATAATCCATGTTTTTAAATAGGGACTAAAATATACATAATCCATGTTTTAAATAGGGACTAAAATATACTTAATCCATGTTTTAAATAGGGACTAAAATATACTTAATCCATGTTTTAAATATGGCTAAAATATACTTAATCCATGTTTTAAATAGGGACTAAAATATACTTAATCCATGTTTTAAATAGGGACTAAAATATACTTAATCCATGTTTTAAATAGGGATTAAAATATACTTAATCCATGTTTTAAATAGGGACTAAGATATACCTAATCCATGTTTTAAATTGGGACTAAGATATACTTAATCCATGTTTTAAATAGGGACTAAAATATACTTAATCCATGTTTACCTATATCCCTGATTACAATAGAATTCTTTTAATTAATTTGCATGTTCATATTTGTATTATGTCTGATTATCCTTGATAAGACGTTTATGTCAAAAGATGCTTTTACTGTTCTTTATGGCATCACTATCTGCCATTTATTTACACCTAAATATAACTTTTCACCTCCTCGTAACTGGATTGAATTTAACCCGAATGTGTACAAAACCTAAGGAATAGAAGATAACTATATATATATTTGACATCCCTTAATGTAGCAACTGTCCTTTGGAGTTTCTTTCAATCCAGATGTATCCCTTCGTTATTTCTTTGGTCACGTGAACTGAACTTACTTTTGCCGTCTATCGAGCGTGATCTTTTTTATGAAAGACTATCGATTGTCAAAATCGATCAATATGTGTTTGAGATATCATCTGGAAACCAAACAAAATATTAACAATACAGCGGACAGTCGATGGACGCCACGCCAGTGTGTAAGCTCGATGATCTAAGACGAGTCGGGATAAAAGCTAGATAAATGTGGATGAGCATGTCCACTGGATCTTCTCAGGCATATGGATTGATCCAGTAGCTCCCTACAAAAGACATTTCTCTTGTTTTCAGTAAAGAACGTTTGATTTTTTAATACTTAAAACACGACTACGATCAAAAACTGGTTTAGTCTCAGTCACCAGTGAATACTGTCAAACTCTTTAAATACTTTTGGAGCACTTTAGTCTGTAAAAGGAGTTTGACGTCAAAGCTTTAAAAATAATGATTACTGGCTACAATAAGAAGGATACCAGCTGCTTCTGACAAAATATACTGAGGAATCCGACGCTATAGTTGTATTCTGGTCTAATGAAAAGATTGTACGTTCAATTTATTTGTTGGATCATCCAAGCTATTGTATGTTCCTTCAGCCAGGTGGCCAAAATACACCAATTAAAAATATATTACCTGTTCTCTTGATGCCGTGTATTGTTGGATTGGAAGAAATATTCCAGGCACCATTCACAATACCATTAAGTGGAATCTAAGGAACTTACGTTATAGTTACTATTTGTATGGCTAACGCACGCGTACAGTATGCAACATGTTGAAGAGTATTAGAAACAAGAAGGTATTTTCCTACACATTATATTGAATTCACTGTGAAAGATGCACCACAATCTTAAGCTGTGCCGAGAAAGGAACCTTTCCGTGGGAGGATCAGATCGCTCAGCACTTTGACTATCATATGACTTTTTTAAGCATGAGATGTAGGTGTTGTGAACTTTGTGATTGATGATTCGTGCAATGTCTCTCATGAGATCGCAGTTAGGGAAAATAGAATAGTCTCTCCGGATATTAACCTTCGAAATAATGTTCTGTGCTAAAGGTTGAATGGCGTGTAATGGGGCGGTGACGCAATGCCTTCAGTTTAAATTTCTAATCACTGGAAGCATCTTTTAACGATATCTATTCACTTAAAGTGGAATATCGTGAAAAGAAACAATTTCAAAAAACGTTTCGCCATTTGAGATTATTGAATGCATGCTCATTATGAAGATACATATTTGCACATTTAGTTAAGAGCTTGGGAAAGAAACGCCTACTTTGCAAATTAATCTTGTCTTCTAAATGACAAGGACTTAAGAATTACATTTCATGCAAAGTGAAAGATAACTTTAGACAATCACGTTTACAGCGCAGGAATTCAATTGCGCTCACAATAACGTTTGGGTATCTTTTATCGTGACTTTACGTTTCTCATATTTTCCACTCACAACTTTTTTGCATTTGTCGTTCATGATTGTATCTCATGAATGTAATTCAAACGATATAACCTCATGAGACCCATTAGTTTTTCCGGGTTGACGGACGGATGGTAAAACAATAGTGGAACACACACGCATAACGAAAACACAAGAGATATCAAACTTTCAAGACAATCTGTAGGAGCTTGCGAACATCTACCTTGATAGACTAGAATTTCATTGCCTACAATGTTTGTGTGAAGATGAATTCTTTTTCATGAATTTTGCATTTCGAATTCGGGATGTATGTATATTGTATTTGTTGCAATATCAACGAATGTTGTTTGCACAAAATGTTTTTCATGATGTGCAAATATATTTTATTGGTACCAAATCCATTTTGCTGTGTTAATATATGAAAGTCCTACAAGTTGCTTTGTTAGTTTGAAGACAGCCACCAAGTAATCCTTGTACTGTTTTTATGTTTCATTTCGTTATTTAAAGAACTTAATCAAAGCAGCCAAAGCATTGTCCTTTTCATGGACAAGAGGAATTTTGCCCACCCGGAGGGGATAAAGGTTAACCTTGCATTAGCCTGAGGCATAGAAAGGCTTTCATGTTATAAATGTAGTTTGATTTCAAACAGAGAAACAAATTAGGTACACACGTTGATCATTAATGTTATCTCAAATGTCTATATGGTAAATTGGTTCAGAAAATAAGACCCCTCCCTTTCCCGAGGATCTGAACTAAAATGCAGTTATCAATCTTTATTGAACTTTTTTTTACATTTCCCCGATCTTAACTTGTAGCTTGTTTTAATCTAACAATCCATGGCACGTTGAAATGGTTACAGGAACGTGATTAGTTTCAAACAGACAAACCATGTTTTTTACTGATATTTACGCTGCATTTCTGAGGACAAAGGCCATATTATAAATCCCGTTCTGCATAAGCTCAACTGGGATTATCACTCGCTGAATTTCGGTAATGGATTGGTTGTTATCAGGCGATATGAGAAAATTAAATGATTTTATTTAACCACTTAATGTCGTGCAGCCCTCGATTTCTAACAAATATACATCAGCTGACATCATTCTATTCAGATCAAGACAGAGGTGCCTAGCGATAGAATGGCGCTAGTGAGGTCTAATGTTCAATAAATACATTAGATCGGCTCTTCAATTAAATGACAAAATCTGATATTCACATAAATATTTTATTTGCAGATGACTTAATATTGGTCAATTTGTAAAGCCTTGGATGGATAAGAAAATTTACATCTTGTTTTACAGAAGTTTACAATAGAGAAAGTATTTCAGTACATTACCGCGTACAACGGTTAAAACATCGTGACATGATCGTTTGGAGGGATCAACATCACAGTAGACCAAGTTCAACAATCTAACAACAATCTGGTCAATACTAAGTTTGACTGCTTAACCCATGACACAGTCAAAGTCAGGTTAACCGCGACCCCAACCTCTCCAATCGAACAGCCGTAATGAGAAGAGTCCACAGTGAGATTGAGGTGATGGCTGTGGGCACCAAGAGATGAGAACCGCCCGCCTAGAGATGACCTGTCACATCACCTGGCGGTCAAAGGTCTTTACAGAATATTTCCATGAATGAAATTCAATGACCTTGTAAAGAGGTCGCTGTTTGACCTCGCGAATCACCTTCAGCGTAAGGTCAATAAGGATGATATGTTGATAACTGCGTAGTTTGCCACCAATCACTTCCCAGGCACATCTCCTTAGCCTTGACAGTTTTGTCGACGCCAAATTTCGAATATCTGTCTTCGCGAAGTGAAGGGCTCCGCCGGTTAATTTCTCGATACATTGGATGACGGCTTCTGCTTTGAAAGCCTTGTCGCATCTTAGAGTGTAAGCACTAAGGTGATTCGTAGACCGTGTATCGGCAAGCAACAAGCTCCAATGGCTATGGAACCATCTGCAACAAGTTCTTTAAATCGCCAGCAAATTACATTGATAGAGATGGTGATTGAGTGACGCCATTTTGCTCTTGAACACGATGGAATCTTTTCGTTTGTCATACGAATCGGTCTGTTGAGCCGGGTGAGCCGCCAGTTACACAACCGTGGTTTGAAAGACAAGATTTAAACACAGGTTCTGCAGTGTCGCTAACCATATCTGGTGGCATCACGATGGAAATCCAGCTCACATGTGCACCCCGATTTAACTTTAATGTAGTCCACCCTGTATGGCTGCGTCACGTTGTAGTCTTTTACTATGCCGTACATATACGTGTACTTCTGCACACACCGAGAGTACCTCTTCGCCCGGACGTCAAGATAATGACACTGTCCGTTGACGACCCAGGGACGGCACCTAGTCTGGTAAAACGTCTGTACGGTTCTCGAGTCTCTGTACAACTCCAGGACTTTGCCCTCTCTAGAGATTCCTCCATATGGTTCAATACGTTCCCTCAGCGCTGGACAACATTCGTAAGGCATCGGCCTGCTGACAACCGAGTCTCTCCTTTTGGACATTCTGTCATAGCGCCTGAAACATAGAACATGTCCGTTAAAATCGTGTAACTTATCGGGTGAGTGAGGGTCGTTTTACACCGCAGTCTGCCACAACACTGCTGTATTACTGTGACTTAAAAATAAGAGAGACTGAACCATACAAAACCAGTTGTTTATTGTATGATTAAAGAGCCGTGCTTGATGCATACGATGATACAAACTCACACTACTTTGAAATCACCCGATCACAATAAATAAAGTGGTTAACCTATTACGAACGTCACTTTGGCTTCTCTCCCACTTTAAGCTGACAGGCCGTGAAGTCTCCGAAATATTGCTCAAAGCAGCATGACACCCAACTCATTAAGTCACTTGCAGCAATGACAATACGCTCTTCAAAAGACCAAAGGTAGTTGGGTAGATTGTCCTCTCATCAACGCTACTGTGATTGAACTACGTTATAACTACAGATTCAGATTACTTCGGGTTTCTTCCCATGCTTGCTGGGAATAAATACAGTGACAGTTGGGAACAGCTGCTTTAACCTATCACAAAATTCGTTAGTTAAAAGCAGCCTCGATGCCTTGCGGTTTAGCTCTGAACTGATCATAACAACTGACATAATTCTGATCGACTGTTATTCTTTGAATTTGTACAGATCAAGGGTACTCTATTCACGAATACGACAATCGTCTCTAAAACTTGTGCGCTTTGAAATAATGCTAAACAATAAACACAATAAGATTGTATGCAAGTTTGGATTAGGTTGGATCGTTCCCAAAACGATTGGTGTAGATTTAGGCTTGTTTACAATTGATTAGAATATTAAGAAAGAGCAGGTGACCCTGTAAGTCTAAGATTAGAACGAATCACCTCAGGATACACGCGAATCAAAAGTGAGTCCACAGCTACCCATTTCACAATGTCACAGATCAGAGGAGAATGAAGCTGATCATATACCACTTCCATTCCCGAGTAACACATGCTCTCTTCTTCCCTACCGAAAAGGTCTTCATTGTTTGCTGAGGCACATTGGTAAAAATTTCGCAGAACCGCAGTCAGTCCACGCTCACTATTACACCCTTATTACATTATGCATGTAATGGCCGTCTTGTTTCAGAACGCTAATAAAGATACCTTGCACCGCATAAATAACTCGGAATGACGATGGGAAATAACTGTAAATCAGACACTTGTCATTAAAGATCCTTTAACTGAAACTAAGTTCCAAGCCTATAGGAAGGACATCTGTTTTGGTGACTGACACGCCGGAAGTAGGGGGCGTTGATGTATCTGAGTATCTGTTTAACATGGATGAGGATGCAAGACTTAAGTCGCTGTTTTTCACCATTCTGGTTAACTTTCTCTACGCCATTTTGCACGTTTTATTTGCCAGAATCTAATCTTGGCGATAGACTTGCAAATTTAGACCGTTAGAAGAGAATGTGTTCACTCCCTGAAAATTGAGTTTCCCTTCTGAACACTAGCAATATATGGACAAGTCAGAAGCAAAGCTTTCATCCTTGGGCAACTCAACATTCAAGGGGTCTTAATTCTGTGGAACATGCATATAGTCTACTGCAACCGATCCACCTTTTAATTTGGCACGTTTCTCTCATGTTTTAATCAAGTTTTAGTGTTCTCTGCCGAAAAGCCAAACCGGTCCAATATCCTTCTCTGCTCCCAGCCATGTATTGATCCTAACGTGTTGACAGGGCGGCGGGGGTGGTTGGGGCGAGGGTGATGCGATTAAGCTATTTGACTGACAACTATCCCACAGTTACAACTATCGCTATCTGACACCAGTCTCGTTGAAATATTTACCCTACTACTGACTATAGTTAGACCAGCATCGTCTCGAGGTGGCCAAACGTCAATATTTACCTACTCCCATTACTTTGAATTCCGTCTGCTTGGAGTTGCTTGTCACAGCCGGAAACATTAACAGTCGTCAGACCATCACGATCTGCTGAATCGGATAAATCATTGATGATGCATCTTAAGGTCTGACGTTGCAGATTTTGAATGAAAATGCGCCGGCTCAGCCCTCAATGAAACCATCCCACGAGGGATAAGCTATATGGCAAAATTGTTTGACACTATTTCACCACACGGCATAAGATCATGGCTTTTTGTATGCAATGCTCGGATCCATTTCATTCAATTGCCATTAACCATTTGCAAAGGCTATCATCCCAGTCTCAATAGATACGTTTGCAAATTTGTGCCATTTTCGAACAAGTTGGAACAAAATGCCAAATGGCCAAATCCATGGTGGAACCCTTTCACTAGCTTTAGAATATTTTTTTTCCACGAGACATACTGCACTCCATTTCATCAAAGTCGTTGAATAATCAATTTGAGGCTCCCAATTTAGATTTTTTTTATTATTCAGGAGGAACTTTCAAACCCTAGTGACCTTTATATAGAGAGAAACTACAAAAAGTGTGTCTCTTATATCGGCTGTCAATTGTGCTTAAGGTAAAGAGACTCATATCTGGATTTTACCAAATTCATTAATGGCCTGTGAACACTATTTATCGATTGATTTTAAATGATGTCCCTAAAGCCATCTCAAACGTACATTTTAAACAAAATATCATGAGAAGTCCTCAACTCACTTTGCTTTCTCTGTGTAGAGAAACTTTTCAAGATATGCAACATGAAGGAACATATTAACATGTATGATATGAATGTAAGGTTGTGCAAACTCGCTTTGCATTTTCAAAAGTGATCAAACCCAAATAATATGATATTGTTTAAAACTTCTAGTTCCCGCTTAATTATACCATAGGCTCAGTTTCAAAGTAATTCAATATTTGTAAATGTTATACAATGCATTATTTTCAACATTTGTGACCACAAAACAAATACACATATTAGCAACGTAGTGCGATAATAGAATGATTGGAAATACGTTCATCGTGTATTGATCCTAGCCGAAAACATCAACCATTAAAACATAATGTCCTTGTGCAAATACACATTCAATACAAGAAGGAAGCGAGTAAATCTCAATGAGATGGCGGATGTGTTATTTATGAGGAAGATGTTATTATTTCAAAACAAAGCAACAAATCGAACATTGCCTCCATACTATCAGTCTATCTGTCTCCTAATCCGTCTGAATTTTCTGAAAATAAAACCACATCACCAAAATAAAACTAAATCACGAAACGTGAATGTGCCGCACTAACATGAAGTTAAAACCTCGTATTCAGAATGACGTTATCCCGTTGTGATGTATAATTGATGGGACTCTTGCAAGCGGATTGAATCTACACGGCATGTATTGGTTGTTTGCCCTTTTGCGAACAGACGAGAGATGACTAAAGAACACAGGGAAAGGGAAGAGTTTGGCGCTAGTTGTTCCAACTGTTAATGGGTAGAAATGGCACGACCGTAAGTGAATATGGTGCATTTTAAGAGCCATCTTCCCGGGAAAATATGAACAGTGAAAGATTATTAGTTTGGTTCGTGTGACTCCGAAAACGTCATCTTCCGGATAATAAGATTTGAAGCAAATCATTTCTACTTCCATCTTCTTTTGTAAAAGCCGAAATCAATGAATCAAGAGTTAGCTTTGTTGAAATTGAATGGCTGCAACATTGTTGTTTACTTGCACAAAGAAAATGATATGCATGATTGTAAAACTATTTAAAATATTTGAATTTTGTTTGTATTCATGCACCTGAAATTCGGTGGATATACATTTTAACTTCTTTGCCATTAGGAGACATTGTTATCATTATTATCCATAGAAGAAAGCGGTAAAACGACAACGCTGATGACATTACATTGCTTGGCCTATTGAGTTATGTCATTTATCACTATCATTTACAAAGCCAATCCAAAACGATGACCAGATATTGTGTTAAAATCATTAATGCAAAGTCTTATGGCCTTTGATGAAATGTTCGACATAAGATTCGGTATTCGGGTATGATCATCTTAGGAAGTCGTTTGAAGCAATTGTTTTCGCGATGTTTGTATAAACAATTATGTGACAATGCCGAGAAATTCCCATTAGGCTTTCATTTTCAGAGTAAGGTCACTGACAATGTTATCTAGCTGGGTAATTGTTGTCGTTTAAAATAGGTACATGTCGTTTCTAAATAGCACAATTAAGAATGTCGTTGACAAGAAAACATGTCTTGAATATCTTGGATTACCGGTTGTGCATTCCAATAACATAATGCATCACTAATAACGTAATACGTACGAAAGCATCCGATTCGAGATCCCCGTAAAGACGTGAATTTCAAGCGTTAAAATAATGCTATAATACACATAGATCCAATGCTTCTGGAAACCATTTAGCGCCAAAGTAGTATTGGGTAGGGGTGTGCACGATGTATAGGTATATATAATTATTGTTTTATTAGAGCTCGGAAATTGAAAGCAAAAAATACAATGAAAAGAATTAAATTCCACGGAGGAACTTTCAGTATATCGTTTAGCTTCATATCGTGGACTTGAAGAACGACTTTAGAAAGGTAACACATAGATTGCAAGCGTCAGCTGCAAATGTCAAAAAGGGTCAGTCAGACAAAAGGCCCATCTATGTTGAAAGGACAATATGTACATCCATTATGGATGTGATAGTAAAACGATCGATGCCACTCCTTCGGTGGTGAATTATAGCGTGGGATATACGACTTGATAGTGTTATCAGAGGGAGACAGTGATCCTGAAATGAACTACATCGATGTGAAATGAACATGTGTTTGTTTGAAATAGAAATTAACTCGTTAGTGTGCTGCCGTTGTAAATTGCTTTGAAATGTGTGTTCCATGTTTCCTGTTTATTTGTTAAAGGGTATAATAACGATTGCTGCATTGCTTATTCTGGAAGTACATCTGTGTGATTCTAACAGGATGGACATGTTTCCTGTTTATTGCGATCCTGATCAAACATACTTATCTGTGTTATTCAATTATTAGGGAGATGAAAGTTTAATAGAAAACGCCTAATTTCATCAAGAAATACGTGAAACGCCTACACTGTCTATTCAAGGCGTGCATGGAATATGAT